GGGACATGATATTTGGGACCTTGCCATCTTAGGATGCTGTTTATTTCCCCCCATCCCTTTATAATATGATAAATATAAGCTGTTTTACACTAATAGACAATTTCGATAATTTTTCAGATTAGAAAAAATAAAAATGAAAAAAAGTGTTCAGTTGTTGTTTTAGTGGCTTATGCTAACATTACCTTGTTTGTGTCAAAGTGTCATCACTGGGGGAGAAATATGCTAGGTATAAATGGTCTTTCAAATAAGGCTTCGTTCACATGGAATGTCTATTTTCTAAAAATCTTTTTTCTATTCGCGCTATCTTATGATCACGGTCTGTGCCCTGAATATCCCGCCGCGTAATTACTGGCAGCGCGAGCCAGTTACTTATAGTAACTTATAGTAACTGGCTCGCGCTGCTAGTAATTACGCCGCAGGACATTGAGGGCACAGACCATGATCATAAGACATACTGCGAATAGAAAATAGAATTTAGAAAATAGACATTGGATGTGAATGAAGCCTTAGTCTCAACTGTATGTTATGTTTAAAAATGCCAACATATAGTTTCAGTAGTATAACTTATAGGCCATTCACATTAGAAAGTTAACAGACCATTTTATTCTTGGTGGTTCCTGCTAATTTACATTGTACCTCACTCTCCAACCATATGGCGAGGAGGCCCTTGACGGCATCCTCAGACCATGATACTCTTTTGCTGCTACTCATAGTACTCAAATATGTGGGAGCATTTCTTGCGAACGAGATCAGTTGATTAATTGCCCACTTGTGCCCACTTCGGCCTTGACCGCGGTCGAAAGTGCTAGTGTGAATGGCCTATTAGAGAATACCAATTAAAGGACATTATTTCATACTTCCCCAAAAAATTAATATTTCTGCTTTCTTTCTGTGCTATATATTTCCTGCAGCAGTCTCATTTGAATAATTAACTTCACCCGAATCTACATCCATACACTGGAGTGAGAGTGATTGTTAGGCAATGCGTCAGTTATGGGACTTTTATGAATTGGAGGGACAGATAATCAGAGAAAAAATCCGACCAGAAATTTGAAGTTGCAGTTTTAAAGCTATAGTATGGCAGAATGAGGTTTAACACTTGGCATGTCAACTTAATTTAAGTTGTATAAGAAACTAATAGAAGTGGTTTATATACATTACTGGGAATCCATTCTCTCTGTATATATAACTTTGAAGGGGAAAGTTAATAAGGTTAATGTTGTTGAATTTAAATTATTGTCACTGTTAATTTCTTTCTTTTTTGGTTAACTTTATTAAAAGATAAAAGTTAAATGGAGATCAAACAAGATAGCCCAAAGTCAAGCACGATTTCCCTGGATCTGGAGGAGAGAGTACAGAAATTAAGGCAGACTAGCAAGAGGGTCCCATTGGGGGGGGGGGGATAGTATCACAGTTCGGGGAAATAAGATCAATTCACAAATTACTGTAAAAAACTCAGACATGCTGAAAACTTTTCAGAATGGCCAGACATTTGGACCGGCAGTAATAGATTTTGCCGAATGGATTTTTGTCGGACCGAAAATCACCCTATTTGTTTGATACAGATACTACCGATATGATTAGGGTAGCTTACTTTGTTTGTGAATGTGATAGGTTTGAAATGGAAGGGAAAAACACTTTGGGTTTTATATAATTTTATTAGTGAAGTATGTCGAATGATGACTGTAAATTCAAAATTGCTGCTCTTAAAACTCTTGTCGGTCCTTTGGACCGAACAAGTTCAATTTTTTACAGGTCCAGACAAATTTTCCCGGTCATGACTGATCGGACCAACAGTTTCAGCATGTCTGAAAACTCACTTAATATCTCATTGAAAATACAGGAAATAGCAGTTGAAAATCACTGTCACAGAGTATATTAATGACTTCATTTCACAAATGACGAAGAGTTACGGGTACATAGTTCTATACAGATAATGTTAAATGATGTGTGTTTCACGCCTTCTTGGGAAATGGAGAGTAGCTTTCACAGGTTAACAAAATACCCAATGGAACCCCCTAGCAAGTGCAGTATGGTAACAAATAAAAGCATTTACCATTGGGTATCTTTCTGGTTGTGCTTTTCTCTGATGTTTTGTAGAATCAGTCTATTGCACAATATGCATTCACCATTTTGTGTTGCTTTCTATGAAAACCCCCTGTTCATAGGGTTTCTCCATTATTGATAAATAGTGAACGCTACATCGCATGGATTCTCAGTTTTTTTAATTGCTAAAAACATCAAGCAGTATTGACAGTTTCATATCAAAAAACCTTGGATGATCCTCATAATAATATTCAAATTTCTTTTTTATAATGTCAGAAAAATTTTATTTAAGATGTACAGGGGCGGATTCAGGCCGTCTTCTGGGTCTTCTGGAAGACGGTCAGATTTTCAAGTTTATATTGACGGGTATTTAATTTTTTCTGTCGGAAGACGGTCAAAAGTTAAGGATGGATCAACAAAGAAAATTTGGAAGACCGTCAGAATATATCTTTGGATCCGCCCCTGATGTATGTTGTGTTTTTAGGTTAAAGGTTTTTCCATTTGAATATGAAATATTTTATGCACCTATTTACTTCAGAAATGAGAGGTTGTTTCAGTTTAATGCTATATGCCTATTACTTAATAGTAAGATGGTAGATATTAATAATACAATACAATACTGTATATGCAATAGTCTGTATAATATGTATATAATGCAATATGATATTGGCAGAAATGCTGCAGGCAGTATCATGATTTATTCCTTGTAATCATTATGTCCCAGATACCTGTGTATTTTGCCTCTAAGACAACAGGTGTGATTAAGAATATAATACTAGTAAGCCTGACAGAGTGAGAGTTAACAGACAGGGTGAGTAAGGACTCTTAGGAGACATTATTTTAATGTATAGCACACTAAGAGAACCTGTATATGCAAAGGTCAGGCAAAGTGGTAATAAATGTGGCAGTAGCATCATTGCTACGTGTCCAGCTTTGCTTTAGGTCTGTGACAGCTGGGATTTATTTGAGAAATCAAGTGTTCTGGTTTATTTATACTTTGTAATAATTAAGAAGTCAGTATGACGTATTCAGAGGCTAGTATATTGAAGTACAGGGAGCGACAGAAACTCATAGACATGATAAAAAGGTAGGCTGTTATGGTCAAGATTAAGTTAATATGGAAAACAACTCTCATTTTGAGGATTTGTTTCAAAGTGCCATTGAGTACTAGTTAATGTTTCTGAGTAATTTTTAATATTTGCATTAAACAGTCTTGAGTTTTCATTGACTAAACGATGAGGCCATGAAAATAAATATGTATACAATTACAAAAAGGATCTGTTGACTTGATTGGCAGTATCTCACTCTCTGCTCCAAGAGATAATCAACTTTTAAAACCCCCTGTAAAGTAATTACTGTTTAGTGAAAGAGAGTTGAACGCAAATATGTGATTTTCAGAATAAATATTTTACTGATGTGCCACAAAAGCACTGATGTGTGTAGCTGTATCTGCCACGTTGCACACTATAAAGATTTTAAAGGCAGTTAAACATGAAATACCACATAGAACCTGTAGCCTGCAGGTAAGGTTGATGTGTCTGCCGAAAGCATAATATTAGAAGTAATCTTATTCGTGACTAAAATATGTGTTGTTTATATATTTTTTTCAATGGAATTTTTTTTGAGCTATGATCTGAATTAAGTTTTTTAAGCAGATTGAGAAGAACTACCCTTTCTACTAACTATTTTAGAAGTCTTGAACGCTTGGCAGATATACATTGCAGTGAATAGAAATATATACAAAAAAAAAAAAAAAAAATGAAATGAGGGGCCTGTTTTGGACAATGAAAAAGTGGTGATTAGGAATTTATTATATTTATGGAAAGGTCTAACAAAAGGTTTTTTCCGCATTTTGTGCTACACAACAGATAAAGAAAAAGATGTATGTTTTCTTTTTGATAACTAAATACTTCAGCAAATTTTTAAGTGTGACAGGTGTTGTTTAGAAAACAAACTACAATGTACATAAAAGTTCTGTTGAAAGAAGGTTACTTAATATCAACTATAGCTGTTCACAGTTGTGATTATAGAAGGCTGAAAAGACACCAAATGGCTGCAGCTGAGTAGACATCAGACGATGCTGATGTAAGGTTGACTTTGTGTAAGGGATACCGACAGTGCAAGAACCCTGCATTTAATTACTAGTGATAGGCTCATCAAATGATCTGATGGACCTATTTGAACATGCATATAAACTTTATATTGTACAAACTTATTGGGTCATAGTCATTGTAAAGTGCACTAGTTTTGAAGTTTAGTAATTTAATTACCTGTAAAATTCCTTATTAATATGCAAACACAAGGAAACATTGTTCAGTTCACATTAAACATGTATGGCTTATACAAAGGCCTGTTGTATCAGCTGTTGTTAATGTTCAGGTGAAAGACTTCTCTTGAGACCAATCCCATACTGTGCACTGGATGTACACTACAGAGATATTATCTTGCAAGGTTTCCAAGTGTTTTGCATTAGTGAAATAACACTTGAAAGAAGTGTGGGAAATGTTAATCTGTGGTTGTCTGATCTGCACTAGTACAGGAAAGAATTCTTGATACAAATCCAGAGGGAAGTTTAGCATAGAGCAGACAGACGTTGGTCTGAGTACTGCTATGCCAATGAAACAGTAGTATAATCAAGTGCTTGAATGAAAAGAGAATAAGGAAGGAATTAAGATATATCTTGAACTAAGGTGCAGTGTTTTTATTTTCAGCACCATGCTGGCGCTCGTGCTGGTCCTGTTCCTGGTGTATGTGCCTTCCTACATCCATGGCACAACCACAGATGAGAAGTCCTGGGTGGCAGAGCTCCAGGACATCTGGCTGGTACGTCTCTTCCTCAACTTACTGGGATATGCCTCAGTCTTCGTCCCTGCTGGACTGCTCATCAGATATCTTCACAATAACAACTACAATGAGAAAATGGGTGAGTTTTTCCCCTTTTAAAATGCCAGGTTAAGTTTGTTTTTTTTTTTTTTTTGTTTCACTAGGTGGAAATAAACCCTGTTTTCACCCAAGGTGCTGATAGTTTTGAACATTTTAGTGCTCGGTATGGGTGTAGATGTATTGTTTGTTGCCTTATCATAGTAGAATAACACTTAAAGTAACATAACAAGCTTTTAAACTGAAAAAAAAAAGAAAGGTGGAATATGTAAATATGTAGCTACAAGTGTCCCTTACTGGGAAAACTTGACAAACTTTCAAATTTATTGGTTGTTTGCTTTTGTTTTGATATTTTACTTCAAAAACAATTGTATTTACTGACATTTTTTTTTCTTTTTTTTTGCAAATTTTAGAGGTGAAGGCATTGTGTCAGTAATTTGATTACCTTTTAGGATCCCTTTTAAGTGTTTAGGGTTGATTAAACTACTGGTATTAGAGTGAAATGCCACGTTTTTGCCAAGTTATTTGTTCAGATACCAGCTGTGGAAATCACTAAAAAACACATGAGAACACATAATGTGAGTGCATTCACTTTACAAATATCTTTATCGTAATCAACGAATGACAAAATTTTATTTTTTTTCAGGTTATGGTTTGATCCCAAAGTGTATACGCATTTGCGTGTTTGGGTTGGAGTCAGAAAAGCCTAGCATAGAAGAGGGCTCTATTAAAGCAGCGCCACCCCCAGTAAAAGAAAGAACATTCCAACAAAATTGTTTACTATTGACTTTTCTTGCTGTGGGTCTGCAGGCGTCGTACCTTACCTGGGGTATCCTACAGGAAAGAATCATGAAACATGCTTATGGGAGCAGCAAAGATGACCCAGGTGAAAAATTCAAGAATTCTCAGTTTCTCGTCTTTATGAATAGAATTTTAGCTCTGTGTGTGGCATGTGTGACTCTTTTGCTGACTTCATCACCAAGACACACTGCTCCACTGTACAAATATTCTTATAGTTCTTTCTCCAACATCATGAGTAGCTGGTTCCAATACGAAGCTCTCAAGTATGTAAGCTTCCCTACCCAAGTCCTGGGGAAAGCCTCCAAGATTATTCCTGTGATGCTTATGGGTAAAATTGTTTCAAAGAAAACATACCAGTACTATGAGTACATTACTGCTGCATTAATCTCTGTAGGAGTGAGCATGTTTCTGTTGTCACGTGATGAAGAATCTGATAAAGCACATAGTTCAGTGACAACTTCATCTGGGATTATTCTCATGGTAGGCTACATGGCATTTGACAGTTTCACATCCAACTGGCAGGGGGAGCTATTCAGTGCTTACAAGATGAACCCAATTCAAATGATGGCTGGAGTGAATCTCTTTTCTTGTTTATTGACATGTACTTCTCTTTTTGAACAAGGAGGATTTGTAGAATCTGTTAGCTTTATGTTAAGACATTCTCTTTTTGCATTCCATGTGCTTCTTTTATCCCTGTGTTCAGCAACAGGACAACTGTTTATTTTTTATACCATAAGTAATTTTGGACCAGTGACCTTCACCATAATAATGACAGTGAGGCAAGGCTTAGCCATATTGCTGTCCTGTATAATATACCACCATGCAGTGAGCCCTCTTGGAATCACAGGAGTGCTCATAGTTTTTGGTGCCATTTTCTTAAAGATATACTTGAACCAAAGAATGAAAGCCAAAAGGATTGCTTCAAATTCTACTGTGAATTCACAAAAAGTCTAAGTATTAATTTCCTTCAGTCAGAATTCATATGTTTATTATTTGTTATCATTATTGAGCAGCACACAAATTTAAAGGTGTCAAGGCAGTAGATTGGACTTATTCCTTGGTGATACCAAGCTAACTGTCCGTTTAGTTCAGAAATTGAAATTGTTCTAAAATTATGCATGTTCCCACATTTTGACAGGGCCCAAAGTATGATAAAATAGCAGGGCTATATGGTCTGGTTTACAACCTTCTCAGCTTGGGATGTATGGCAATTATCAAATTAATGATGTGATACAAAGTCAACCTTAATGATGTTATGAATAATGCATTAAGTACTGGGTATATTGTGTACTACTTATGAGTTGTCCAGTGTATGGGACATACAGGAGTGTAATTATATCAAGGCACAGCCGAAATATGAGTGCACTTATGTCATTTGCACTTATGTCACGTACAGTGGACAGCGAGTAGTTGTAACTGACCAAGAAGTTATAACTTCTTGAATAAGCATTGTTTTACAATATGATCACTAGGTAAACAGTATAGTTCAAATTCTGGATATATATATATACATGTATATATATATATATATATATATATATATATATATATATATATATATTCTGAAAGAACTGTCATAGTTGTGAGTTTGTTATCTTGTTTGTAAATTGTAACATAAAATAATGTATAGACAATGTTATTTGCTTACATGGGGTAAGTGTGGGTTATGCATCCTTAATAAGTTTTGTTGGTTTTTTTTTCAGTATATTTGTACTTAAATTGGGATTAACATTTAAATACCCTGGTAGTAGGCATGTCAATGTAACTATATATAAGGACTTCTTTGACTTGTCCGATGATTCTCATGATTGGTAATCTCAAACAATGGTTTTAGGAAAGTGTGTATTGGTGTTGGGCTAGATGTAGAAATGGTCATGTTTTCAGCTGAGTTTAAACTTTCAGTTCTATATTTTACTGATGCTGACAGTAAATATTTTAACCTTGCATTTCTGAATTTTTGACAATATGAAAATAAAAATGTCTGCAGTGGCTGCACACAGTAAAATTTTTTATGAATCTTACAGAATGCTTATAGCATTTATATTCTTAGATCTTGAATTATACTTATATGTTAAAACTGGCATTTAGTTTGGGGAGTAAGCTGTGCAGGACACATGCTTGAGAACACAGTGGATGGTAAGATTTTTTAAAATAAAAAAGTATGTAGAAATATTGACAGCATTTTATTTCTACCCCATTATAATGTGATTGGAATGAAATGTTGATGGGAATTGGGACATGGTATATATTATATGTAAGCGAATACAAACTTGGTCAATAAAAACATACAAATTGGAAGTCTTCATATTTTGTTATTTTATAATATGTAACAATAAAAATAAAGAATCTATAAGTGACACTGTCCAGAAAATGATAAGTGTAAGCATTCTTTCAGAGCTCTCATATCCCAAGTAAGCATATAATTGTAATCTAAAATGTCCATTTATATCAGTAAAACACAGCACTCTGCTTCCTTCATTTGCTAATTACTAAATGAATCTAAAATAAGGATAGTGGTGGAGAGCCTGATCATGTATATTTCTCGTCCTTGATCTTATCACTTCACTCGATCCATCCACCAAGTCTGATTTTTAGTTTTTAGTTTCTTGGTCACAACAGTGAGTTGGATAATTACTCCAAAGATGTGCCCGACTCATCAACTTTTCTGAGGCATAACCACTTGATTGGGAACATGTCATCATCGCTTGTCACACCTGCATAGCTAATTCCTGGTATGTGACAATGAGCTGCATGCATTAGGGGCTTGGGCTGGACCTTACACAATGGCCTTATCTACAAATGTATCAAAGCACTCATGTTATATGGTAAAACAGATTTTCAGAAACAATTAGCTTTTTAATTATTCAAATAGTGTCTATGGTAAGGGTAAAATAAATATACTTGTTTGGCAATGTAATTTCTTCACATAAGCCATCAGGACTGCAATTAGGTGGACAAATATGTCCCACTTACTAAAATGCTACTTCTAATGTATATGAATTTATATTGAATTTTTCATTTTATGAATATTTCTACAAAAATGTGTAAGATAGGCAAAATAGGAAAAGGAAGATGTGGTAAGTGTTAAATGGTGATGCAGTTCACAATTCATGTTTTGTACTTCCTTGCCCACAAAATGCAACTTATATCCCACGTCAATTCGTTTACCTTGTAACCAGGGCCTTGAGTGTCATCATATATAAGCTGATGCTCAAAGCGCCACTTGTGAAACAATCTACCATTTGCAGAATATTCTAGGTCACCATGTGTTACATAACGGTCTTTGCTTAGAAAAGGGCACCTTTTCTTTATTGCTGCATACACAACACAGAGATCATCCTCTTCACTGAAAAGATAGGCCACCATGCAAATTTACTAATCAAAAAACTCACTACTATGATTTTTTTTATATCTTTGTCCCTTTAGATACCTAAATAATATTTGTTATCAAGTAACTTACTTTCTAGGTCAAATAAAATTTTAAGTCAATCGTGATCACTGTTGAACAAGTAATAACCTGGTGAATATGATGACACAATCACTTTTTAACTTATATTACTCTAATCAAATTATTTTTGGCATTGGTGACAAAAATAATATTTCATATTATTATGATTATTATTTTATATGTACAGACAGATGTGTCTGTACATATAGCCATCACCTGCATCTATCGTCGCTGTTGTGCACTTTCACCAATAACATGATAAGTGGAAAACCCTTTAACCTTTTGGCTTGAAACTTAAAGAACTGGACTGGTTATGCAGGTCAAATTCGAAAATCAGCATGATCCGGCCATTTTCAAAAAAGTTATGCTGTTTTTTCACTTTTTTTTCAAGCATATATGCACGTCGTCCCTGC